TTGTTCTGTGATCTAGTCTTGTCTTTCTCAGTTTTGTTTCTGTGGTTTAGTGAGAATTACAGAAAAAATGGCTTAATTTAAAGGAAATAATGAGCATTTTTATTCAACTTCAGGGAATATTGACACTCTTCTGCCTAGAAGCTGTTCCTTAAAATAACATACTGATGCTAACTTATGATTAATCTATAATTTGAGTTCAGTATGTTATAATCATGAATATTTCCATAATTTCTCTCAGTTGTTGTGAAGTCTTCTTTAAAGAAAGCAAATGATTCAAATCTGATGTTGTCAGTACGACTGTTGGAAGACCTGGAAGTGCTGTGATCTTGCCCCACTTTCAGCCAAACGCTTTCTTGGCCTTATCTATGTGAGTTAAACTGTGGTTGTTCTGAGAGAATAATGGAAAAGACATTTTAGAGCAACAATTCTTTTACTGAAATACTAACTCAAGTGGAGTAGTCAGACTCTTGTCTTCGAAGTGGAGCTGTTGAAGGAACAGTTTTCAGCTTCCTAGTATGTATTTCATAAGTATTTTTGGATGAAAAAAGGAAGTCTGGTGTTAAAAATGAACATCATAGGTTTTGTTCAAAGAACATAGAAAATCCTTTAGGTAAGAGATCATTTATATTAGTCAAGTTTTGTATGCAATCAAAATTTTATTCAGTTTTCCTGACAATAAATTTTTTTAATAGTCTGTTTGGCATTTTAGTAATTTGTTGCATTTGAAGATGTACCATTTTTCCTCCCAGTCGACATTAAAAAAGCTTGAACTGAAATTCCATTATTATTATTATTATTATTATTATTATTATTATTATTATTGCTTTAACAAAAAACAGTGATGTAAAGAAGTACAGGACAAATACAGGCGATTAACTGTCTCTCTGCAGGATAGGAGTACCATAACATTACCCTGAAGTATCTTATAAGAACAGAAAGGCATGTCTGAGACTGCCTAGTTTGATGGAAAATTGTTTTACAGGGTTGACTATAACCAAGAGCTTCATAGATACTGCTTGATACTGGAATGATGATAACTTTTTTGTGTGTGCCTGAAATGGAATGTAGCTGTTGTATTTGAAGACTGTATTAACAAAGAACTGATGATACAGAGGGTGAATTGAGTCATAATGTGATACAACAGTTGGAGAATTAATGTGATAGAGTGTGGAAGAAAGTTAAGTAATGGTGAGGGGATTTTATCTGTTAAGTTTTTAAGGTGGCTTCCCAGCCAAGTTTGTTACTGGATTTGTATGTCTGAGAATTTTCTTAGCTTTCTTTCAGGAACATGCTTCATCAAGTCTTGGATTATGGCTTTACTAATTTTACAGCTATGTAGTTTAGTGACTTGCTTCTGGAAGGCTTGAGTGGGTTGCAGGACTCACTGCTGCTGGTTTATCAGAGCCGAGGACAGCTGTGGGTGCCTATGTAGGATCTCTTGGGTTATGTGCTCTTACTGCTGCCTAAGCAAACCTGATCAAATGCCTGAACCACCCTTCCTTCACACTGAAGGCAAAAGTCCACAGAGGAGGTGAGCTCAAATCCCAGTGTGCCACAGGTACAAGTGGGCATGAGCAGGTGTGCAAACACTGCAGGTCCCTGTGGGACTTGGACACCGTCAGTCTCTGAAATGCAAGGATTTTGGGAAATGGGCATACTGACAGAAGGCCCTGTGATGTTTCCAGGTTCTACTACAAAAGGGGAGGACATCAAGTAGAAATGCAGAAACTTGGTGTCTCAGTTTAAAACAAATTTAGGAGGAAGTCTTGAAAGGGTGTCTCTTCTGAAGAGTTTTAGCAACCTGTCTGCTATGGGTTTTCACAGGTTCAAAAGGATTTACTTTGGAGAAAGTGAAAAAACAAAAATGTTTATTTAGCAATCAGAGTGCTCACAGAAGAACAAAATAATCCCATAAAGGAGTTCATATGTCACACATGACCTTATCTCTGTTTTTTAAGGGGACAATTACTCAGGCAGTTAAACAAAAGCTATTCAAGCATATGGGAAGTAAAATATTTTCATACTCTGGAAGAGTGTTTTTCTAGATGTATATGGTAACAGGAAGATAGGACTATAGCAGTATAACTAAACTTGTGGCTTTTTAAGGCTGTTTTGTTTCCTGTTTATCTGTGCTTCTTTTAAGGGACTGCATGGCCAGAAGTCCTTGAAGAGAGTACATGAATGATCTTTATTTCTTTAGATGATAATTCTGGAGATGAATGCTTGGTAAAATAACAAAAAGAGCAGTAAAGAACTGCAAATATCAGCTTTTTGGAGTTCTAAAAATCTAGGAGCTCTAGTATGACAAAATTGGAAGACGTAAAAGCTTACTACACTTAGCAGGTGGATTTCACTGTCTGAAGAAGTGCTCCTATGATTGGATGTACCCAAGTTATTGTTAGCATAATTATTAGATGTCTATCTTATGCACACTAATCTTAATAATAATATTGAAAGTTTTCACTGCTTTTAAGAGAGTATCTCTGTCATTAGAAACTGTTTAAAGAGCTCAATAAGCATGTGAGAGGAACTGTGGCCTATGTGTATTTTCAAAAAATCTCTGTATGATGAAAGGAAGGTCTCAGCATGGAGAAGAAGGGACATGCTTTCTGGAATTGACTCTTAAAAATACAGGATTCTGGAGTATAAATTCATTCTTACATGAAGATCTCATATAGAGCAGGAAGTAGAAGTAATATAGTCATTGCTGTACACTCAGAATCTTAAGTAGTTTAATTTTTAGGGAATAGTTTATATTATTAGGGTATAATTTGCACTTAGGCCAGAGCAGCATGTCGCACCTCTGTAGGGAGAGAAAGGATGCCTGAGCACTTAGTCACTGTGATATTGAGCAAAAAGGCCCAGTGTTACTTTGTTGTTACCAGAATGTTCTTTGTAAGTTTTAAGAATTAACCTAAAGATAGCTTTTATTTAAGGAGAAATCCCGATTATTGTGGCTTTTAATGAAACCTTTGAAATTAATTACTATGTTGTAACAAAATGGGGGGAGATGTGTGTGCAGAGTATCACTAAACCTTGTTAATTGCACTTTGTGAGTATTTCTGTGATACTTAAAAAGACATAGTGCTTAATACAATATTCGTAGTGGAGAAAATGTTGAATTTAAAATGTAGGTTTCAAAGAATTTATCTGAAATGCTAATTTTAAACTAACTAAAATAGCACTTTCAAAAGAAAGTTAAAAAGATTTGGGTGATTTAGTAAAAGACTAGCTTTATTCCAGGTGGAGCTCAGCAACAACTACTTCCTTCAGCTGTAAAGGTAATTGGTTCTGTAACCCTGTGACTCCCACTGTGCCAAAAATGCAAGTGAGTCCTGAAAGATTTGGTGGCAAGGGGAGACAGTTCCTTCTTTTGATACCCTTTGGCCTTTTTTACATTTGAAATCATAACTACATATATGCTAAAAGTTCTTGCTTTCTAAAATACTCTGATGAAATTTTGACTTTATTCTCTACCTTTTCCACACATACTCTAAATTGTAATTGTAAATTGTAATTGTAAATTGTAATTCTAAGTAGAATGTTAAAATCCCCAGATAAATAATTGGGCAAATCCTGTATACACTGGAAGTAATCTAGTAAATTCTGTTGCAGACATTGGAAAATAAAAGATAATGGTGTGAGGATTAGGAGGATGACGCAAGTTAGGAAAGTGAAAGTAAAGTCACAAATATTTTTCTAGTACGTTATGGTTAAGGAAACATTTCCTGTCCCTTCTAATCAGTCTCTTGTAAGATTGAGCAGGTTCTAGAAAATGGCTTCAAATATAATGCTCAAATGATAACCAGAGGATTAGTGAGTTTTAATGTCAGAAGGAAAGCAGCTGAGCTTAATTACCTCCATAATAGTGACTTCATAATTCAGCCTAGAAATGTATTCATACAGACAACATATGACCAAAAGTGTTGTATTTTAATACTTTGTTCCAGAGAGGAGTAATTTTTCAGTTGTGTTAATCTGTCACGTAGTTCATTGCCCTACTGATAAATGTAGCTAATTTCTTGATCTCTAGCTCTTAACAGAGGTACAAAAGAAATCTTGCAGTCTAAAACTTCATAGCATTTTCTCTATGGAGCATGAGAAATACTTGAGTAGTACAATTTGTTTTATATATTTCAAATCAAATGTGTAAGAACCAAGTATTTTTCTGTTACTAGCATCTCATCAGATGAAAGTTACTTGTTTGGTATATTGCCATACTTATATAATAATGTTGATATCTCCTATTCCATAGAAGAAGGCTGAGACAGGATTTACGTTTTGATCTGCTTTAATGTAGTGGCTTGAGTTGCAGTAAACAAAGTCGTATTTTTTTCCTTGGATTCGTTCTTACTGCTTAATAGTACATGGTCTTAGCACATGCTTAATATAGGCTGTGGTCAAGCTGTGGTTGAGGGTAGCTTAATTTTATTTTTAAAGAAATTAATTTTTTCTTTCTGAAGCTTTCTTGTTGACTTGGGTGTAAAATTCTTCGTAGCCTTTGCTGGAAAGGGTACAGCTCCATGTTGATATATTTGGAAAAGAGTTATGCACAGCTGTCTCTATAGAAACAGTGAAGTAAAATGCTATAATTACTCTAGATGGGGTTCAGCATATCTCTTGGGGTAGATGAGCCTTTAGAGCTGACTGGATTCTGCTGTTGTGGCTCCGCGTTAACCTTTAAACTTGTCTTGCTGAGGCAGGACACAGAAATTGAGCGCTGGGGGCGCGCAGGCGCGCGGGAGCGGGAGCTGTGCGGGCTGGGGCGGCGGGGAAGTGACGTCCCGGCTTCGGCGTTCTAGAAAGAGCGCAGACACTCCTTCGGGTGGGAGGGCTCTGTGCCTTGCCCAGGGTGTAATCGCTTATAAATGAGCTAAGGGGGAAGGAACGAAATACTGAGAAGCTGCCTGGGCTTTCTGTAATGTATCCTAGAGTTTGTTGTTTTGTAGCAGCTCTGTTTGTTTCAATTCAGAGGTTGATTTTTATATTTCCTTCTCTAGCATCTCCACCTTGCTAAGACACTGGACGCTGCTTTCTTTACAGCAAGGAAAATCTGAATTTCTCCAACACTCAGGATGGGGAAAGATTACTATTCTATCCTGGGAATTGAAAAAGGGGCTTCTGACGAGGATATCAAAAAGGCTTACAGAAAACAAGCACTGAAATGGCATCCAGATAAGAACAAATCTCCCCATGCAGAAGAAAAATTCAAAGAGGTTGCAGAAGCTTATGAAGTGCTGAGTGATCCCAAAAAGAGGGACATTTATGATCAGTTTGGGGAGGAAGGTATGTATGTCTCTGTTACGCTTTTATTGGTTGCTTTCATTATGTTGGATGAAGTAAAATAAACATATGAAGACGCGGTATGTGTTCATGTTTAGGCAATGTATTTGTTTGGCTCATGAGGTTTTAAGTATAAAATGCATTCCTGGGCTTTAATGTTGGTAAAGTTTTAATTTCTTAATTTAACAGGGTTTTTTACAAACCCCAAATATCTGACAGGCATAAGGTTATTGAACAGAAAAAGTTTCTATCACCTATAAATAGCCTTCTGTGATCTCTTACTGCTGCCTTCCCTTGGCCAGAGCAGTTTTTGAGATGCAGTTCAAAAGGCATGTATTCTTTTCTTTAATTTTTGCTTAAGGGCAATCTGCTTGATCTAGGCAAAGCAGTCCTTCTGAGCAGAAGCCCAGGTGTCCAGCCTGTAGTTGTCCTTGGCTTTGTGCCTGGAGAGGAAAGAATTTGGCTGATGTCATGAAATACCAGAACAATTTTTTAGCTTTAATTGTAAACAGTGATAACATGCCAAGAGAATGAGGCCTCAGAAATGTCACATTTATCCTAAAATGGTTATCTGGAGAGGAGGATTTTTATTTTAATTTTTTTTTAAATTTTTGACCGACATGACTTTCAGTCTCATGATTGAGCAACAGAGGGAGTCATTAACATCCCGTCCTGTAAATGTGTATGGTATTCCATTTAAAGGAATTCCATTTAAAGGAACTGCTTCCGTTATGACAAGTAGGCCTGCTCATTGCTCTTCGCTTGGGGCCATGTTTTTTACAATTATAAAGGAGGACACTTAAATAGCAGTATTTAGTCTTCTTTGGGCAAACATATAAAGTATGATATTTTAGAATGTTGAATATGGGAATACTTCCTGGTGCCTCAGTTACTCTCTGAGCTTTTCTGAGAGTGTAATTAGTTGCTGTAAGGGAAATACAGAGGATTGGGGTTTGTAAGAAGGATGAAACTTCAGTGTTTTTACAGCCAGAAGCTGGATGTACCTTCAGTAATTTCTGGCTATCTATTCCAGGAGGTGTCCTTCTGCTATCACAGATTGAATCCCCTCATCTGCATGTTTGGCACAGAAGGACGTACTGTAGTTTGCTAAGTACTTTTGCTCTGGTCTGGTATTGAAATGGGGAAAGCAATCTAATGTGGTAGCTGGTTAGTGTCAGTACCCAACATTAAGGTTATGCATGAGAATACTGAGCTAAAAAAAAACCAACAAACCCCTCTTTAAAATTTATGGAATGCCTCCCTCATAATGTAAGCCTTCATTTTTCTATGATTATGAAAGTATGATACCAGCTGTAGTTTTGAGGTGGTCTAAGACTGAAAAAAAAAAAGTTAAAGAAACAAGCATTGTAAGTTTGGAGACAAAAGTCTCTTCAGAATACTTTCAGTCTTCCAGTGCTTTGAGAAAGTATCCTGAAATGGTTAGTGCAGAAGAGCACTGTTATGAGGAAATACTTGATCACCTATTTGGAAAGAGGCATTGAAAAAAATTGATTTCAGCTTGGTTTGGAATGGGAGCACAGGAAGTACAAGAGAATCTTTGGCAGGAAGAAATAAGATTTAGATCTCTCCATGTGAAAGGTAGAACAAAGCTATTAAGAACCTTCTGATTTTTTGCACAGGGACAGTGATAGTGTATACAAGGCTTTTGTACCTAAATGGATCTTAGTAAGTTCTATGATGTTTTTATTTGTGGCTGCATTGAAGAGAGTTCTCAGTATTTGTACCCATTTTATATCATAGGATCACAAACTGTGATAATTTGGCGATTTTAAATTGAATATTAAGAAAGCATATATGTGCTTGACTGTTGGCATGTTACCTTCAGAGCAAATTGCAGGAAAATGGGTAAAACTAATTAGCACTTCGTTACAGCTGAGCTATAGAGGCTATGGAATATGTTGCATATGATAGTGAGAAATTTTCCCCAGAAGTGACCTTGTGGAAGGATGCAATTCCCAAGACATTTTGCAGAACAAGAGGAGATCAAATCAAGCAAACCTGTCTTCTGCTGTTAAGATGTGAATTCATTAAAATAACTGATTTCAAGCACATTAAATAAAATTGGCACTGTCAGAATACCTGTTCTTCTCAAGTAAGTAGTTATAGAGCTTCAGAAACTTTGTTGCTATTCATGCTATTGAATTCAGGCTAGTACCCCACATTCTCATGGTGAATCCTTGAAAAGCAGACCTTTCACTCTACTGCAAATATCTTTCTGACTCATCAGTCCTGATATCATGACACTGTACAGCAAGAAAGCTTATACTAATACCCAATTTGTTTTTAACTTTGCTTAATTTTCTTATTTAGGTCTTAAAGGAGGAGCTGGAGGATCTGATGGCCAGGGTGGTACCTTCCGGTACTCCTTCCATGGCGACCCACATGCTACATTTGCAGCTTTCTTTGGTGGCACAAATCCTTTTGAGATCTTCTTTGGGAGGAGGATGCCTGGTGGCAGAGACACTGAAGACATGGAGGTGGATGGTGATCCATTTGGATCCTTCTCTAGTTTTAGTATGAATGGCTTTCCAAGGGAAAGGAATACGGTTGGCAGCCAATTACGGCGTAAACAAGATCCCCCTGTAATCCATGAACTTAAAGTGTCACTGGAAGAGATCTATCATGGCTGCACAAAAAGAATGAGGATTTCACGTAAAAGGCTTAACCCAGATGGTAGAAGTGTCCGTACAGAGGACAAAATTCTTACTATTGAGATAAAAAGAGGATGGAAAGAAGGCACCAAGATCACTTTTCCGAAAGAAGGCGATGAAACACCCAACACAATTCCAGCTGATATTGTTTTTATCATCAAAGATAAACCTCACTCTCATTTCAAGAGAGATGGATCAAATATTGTCTATCCTGTTAAGATCAGCTTAAGGGAGGTAAGTTTCTCATGTGGTAGAACTCTTAATATTTGATGTACAATAAGATGCAATGGCTAAGGCTGTATGGTAGCTGTGAAATTTGGGGATTTGGAGGTTAGGTGGTTTTTTAAAATAGTTTCACTTTCGTGTGTGGCTGAAGAGCACAGTCATTTATAGTGGCAACAATAGCTATTTTGCTAAAAATGGGATATTATTTCAAGCTGTTTACTATAGAGGCAGCAGAGGATAAGGGTGGAAAGGTAAGAATAAAGGTTGAGATGTCTTAAATTTTCGTACATAACCATTCTAGCTAATGATGTATTAGGCTGATGTGACAAATGAAAACTAAGAAATACATTCTATATAGTATTCTCCTTGCTGCTGTGATACAATTGCTACTTCTGTAGAAGAAAATAGAAATCTCAAGTATTTTCATTGCCATTAAAGGCTCCCTTTTTAGCTCATAAGTTACTGCAGTATGATTTCAAACTACATAGAGATTGATTTCATGAAGATAAATAATTATGAACAGGTGTAAGAGGAGGTGTATATATAACAACATAAATGGTATAGCTTTTTAAAGTTCAATTCCAAATCAATACATATTGGCTTTCTGAAGAAGTCAGAAAGACAGCTTCCCGGAGTTCTTAAGAATCTGAAGCCTCAACATAGTCATAATTTAAAAGAATTAGCTTGAGTATGTGTAATGTATTTTTTCTTCTTAATTAGTATCAGGTGGAGAAATAAACTTTTGCTTTCATTTTAAGCTTTGTATAAATTAAGCTATCTTAAAGGATTTTACAGTAAGTGTGAAGTGAGGTGAAGCACCTAAAGTGGTGAGGGAGGGATAAAAGACAATATTTGATGTTAATGTGGGTAATACAGTTCCTTCACAGATAAAAGCCTATTTAGACTCATTGCATTGTTATGTAAATTGGACATTATTGGTGTAGGCTAAGTGTGCTGAATCAGGTGAAGTTGCAGGAATAAAAATCTTATTCTCAGAGATCCTATTAATGAAAATAAACTTTTGGATAAAGCAGAAGATCTGTAACATTCTAATTTTGGTGCAACAGAACTTAAACAGAATGTCTAGATTGGAAGACAAAATTATTGTTTGAATTTTTTTAGGCACCACAAATATTCACATAAGACAGCTGTGAAATTTGATATGCCTCTGCTTATAGACACTTAAATGTTGTTCTGAAATTTGATACAATAGAGGTTGATAATGTATTAGAAAAAAGGTCCTGTGCAAGTAAACAAACAAAAAGTGAAATGGGATTTTAAATTTCCAATGGAAATTTAGAAGATTGACATCTGTAGAGAAGTATGAGTGGGGAGTTCACTCTACTCAGCTGTCTTACTATTTGATAAAGTTTTTGAAGGACATATAAGCTCAATTACCCCCCAGTAGCCATTGACTAGCATTCATAAATTCAGTGATATCCAATGACAAATTGAAGTTTCCTCTTTTTAGGAGAGGAATATTGTATTTAAATTTTGGCATATCAGAAGTGCACAGGAGATATGCAATTTAGAATTCTAGTCACTTTTAAATAATCCAAATTCGTTTATAGGTACAAAAAAAGTTCTGACCAATTTCTTTTTCTCATATTACACTCTTTCTTTCTTTAGGCTTTGTGTGGCAGCTCTTTCAATGTGCCAACGATAGAAGGAAGAACCATACCTATGACAGTCAATGAAGTGGTAAAGCCTGGGATGAGAAGAAGAATTATAGGATATGGTTTGCCATTCCCCAAAAATCCTGACCAGCGTGGAGACTTAATTATAGAGTTTGAAGTAATTTTCCCAGATAACATTTCTCCAGCATCAAAAGAAGTACTTAGGCGAAATCTTCCAGTTTCATAAAAAGGAAGACTGTGTATGTCAACAGATTAAAATAGGACACTGGAAATGCAGAAGACTGGCGAGTCTGTGCTTTAAAAGTGCAATCTGTAACATCTAGTGGAATCTTTGTTTTTTTTTTTTGTTTTGTGGGTTGGGTGGGGGGAGAATACTGCAATGCTGCATGAGAAGAAAAGGGTTTGAGTAGAAGTCATACAGGTGAATTCTGCAGTAAAAATTTCAGGGAAAACCACTCATTTGTTTTACATCTTCCTAATCAGCAAAGTTTAGTCATTATTTTGCTTAATATAATTGCAGTAAATTTTTTACAAAGTCAGTACATATTTCTGATACAGTACTTGAGTCTCCAAGTACATTATTTCTTATATCCTGACCATGTCTGTAACATCACACATTTATGTAAAAATTTGAGATCGTAGTAGAAATACACAAAGGTATAAATATTTTAAATAGCAAAACATGAGAGAGATCATTTCAGTATGTTGCCTTCCACTGCACAAAGCATAGGCCAGAAAAATCAGCTTGGACTCCTGAACAGCCCCCCTGTGCATTGAAAGCCTTCTCTTTATTGCCCCTGGAAGTGTCAGGACTGCATTGTGCGTGTGGCAAAGGGCACGTGGCCTGAGGAGCCAGAGTAGCCATTTGCAGTGGGATAGATAGTTCCTCAGCCTTGAGGCAGAACAGCAAGAAGGGATTCTTCAAGGATGTGAACAGCAAAGGGTGAACCTGCTGTCAAATAGGTCAGGGAAGCTGGTGACCAGTGACATGGAGAAGGCTGAGGTACGCTGTGCTACCTTTGCATCAATCACTACCTGTAAAACAAGCATGCAGGAGTTCCAGGCCCTTGAGACAAGAGGGGAAATGTGGAACCTTGATGTTGGAGGACTGGGTTAGGGTGCACTTTACCTCAAAGTCTGTGAGCCTGACGGATTGCACCCAAGTGTTGAGGGAGCTGGCTAATGCCCTTGCAGGGCCACTTTCATTTATCTTTGAATGGCCAGGGAGATTGAGAGATGTTCTGGTAGACTGGAAAAGAGAAAATCCTACTCTTTAAGAAAACCAAGAGGGAAGATTTGGGAATCTACAGGCTAATCAGCTTCACCTAAGCCCTTGGTAATGTGACAGAAAAGAATCCTCCTGGGAAGCATTTCTAAAAGGTGGTCAGGGTAGTCAACATAGATGTACAACAGGGAAATCTTGCTTGACCAATCTTGCTGCCATCTACAGTGAGCTTTGGTGATGTTGGGACACCAGTCTGTTGTTTACCTTTTACATCAGTAGACAGACCAATGAAGTACAGGTTAGATAAGTGGAAGGTGAGATGGATTAAAAGGTGGCTGAATGAGGGGGCACAGGGGATTTAATCAATGGCACAAAGTCCACTTGGAGGCAAATCAATAGTGGTGTACCCTCTGGCTCAGTACTCGAGCTAAAGTCAGCGTCATTTAATGACCTGAATTATGCGATGGAGTTTACAAATTGTATAAACTAGGAGGAGTAGCTGGTGCCACCAGCTGATATACTGCCTTTTAAAGGGGCCTCAGCAGGCTGAAGAACTGGGCAGAGGATTCTCATGAAGCTCAGTAAGAGGGAATGCAAAGTCTTGCTCTGTTGGGGAGTAACTGACCAGTAAACTGTCACTGTAAACTGACTGTGAGCTGGCAATGCAGCTTTGTGGCAACAGAGGCCAATGCTTTGCTAGCAGGGGAGGGGAGATGATCCTTATTACTCTCAGCACTGATGAGGATCCAGCTGGAGTACTGGACTCCCTGGTACTTGAAGGGTATAAACTTAATGGAGCAGCTCTAGCACAGGACTGTGTATGAGAGGCTGAGAGAGCTGAAATGTGCTGGCGTGGGGAAGAAAATACTTAGGAGAGATCTTGGCATCTGGCAGGATGGAATGAAGATGAAGAGCCAGGCTCTTCTCAGTAGCTTTCAGTGACAGGGCTAAATGGACACCATTTAGTTAGGGATTCCATCTGAACACAAGGAAACACCTTGTTACTAAGCGGATGGTCAAACACTGGAGCAGGTTTCCTAGAGAGTTTTAGGAGTTGCTATCCCTGGATGCTCATAGCCTGACTGGACATTGTACAGGGCAGCCTGCTCCAGCTGACCATGTGTGAGCAGGGGTGTTGGACTACATGATGCCAAGAGTTTTCATGTAAGCAAAATGATTTTGCTAACTTGGACTTGGCATTTTTCACTATGGGCTGTGTTCAGTAAATGAGGCTTAGCCCAGAGATGGTGGTGCTCATGGGACATATCCTTAGGGAGCACATCTGTGCCGGGTTGGAAAGATGCACAAAGAACCCTGTGAAAGTATTTGGCTAGGGCAGATGTTTAAAGATCATGCTGATCTCAAGTATTCATTATTTTCAAAGGCCAAGCTTTACTCCCATGAAGAAGGAAGAGCTAAGTCCTATCTAAAACTAAGTTTGCTTAAGAGTCAGTGTGGTATAGGGGTTGCCCAGAAACTTTCATATGGTTGAATTGAGTTATTTTTTTTAAATTCATATATGAGCTAGTTGTCTTTAGAGTTAAAAGGTACATAGGGAGATGGAGAGCCCTCTGTAATAGTCTAGTTTTATAATACAGTAATAGGGCTGGTTCCCTTGGTTGCAGCATGGTATTGGTGAAAGAAATGCCTTGTGGGCATGCTTTATTACTTGAGTTTAAAATCATAATACAGTGCTTTCACAACACTTTCAAAGGGTTTGGGATTTTTTTTGTTGTTGTTTTTCATAAGAAAATATTTCAATATTTGCTGTCAGCCTTTTGCCTGTGGAAACTTAGAGGTTACCTGCTCTGTTAGGTAGCCTAAGAAAGAGCAGTGTTATATATGTGACTGCAGGAAAGTAAATCATATGGAAGTTGGGATTTAATTTACAATAATTTTTTAATGAGTGTAAGAAGAATCCCACTTCTTTTACTTAAAGGAATAGAATTTCTGTGGGGTAAAGTTCAAGTCCATTTTTCAACTGCAGATCTCTTCATGCACCATCAGTTAGTTGTAGTCCTAAAGCGACAGGAAGTAAATAATTGCTGGAACAGTATCACAAAGACAAAAAGATTGCTGCTTAGTGCTTCTGCATATTGGTAATACTATATATTGTTGGTTGAAAAAAATTTCCATTTCAGTATGTTCCGTATTGCATTTCTTATGTGGTTTTTAAGTAAAAAGTGTAAAGTTGGTTTTTAACTTTCTCTTATATTTTGTTCTGTCAAATGCTAAAAGCTACATGACTTTAAAGCATATCAACCTAAAATACCTATTTGTCAGTTCAAAAGCTAATGGAATCAAGCGTTTTTGTAATCCAGGATCTTGTAACCATATCCAACTTGTAAAAAAAAAAGTTACAGCAACTAGGACTATTTTTTTGTAACCATCTTCAGGTAAAAGGAATAGTGTTAAATTGAGGAATTGCAGTATCTTGTGTATTTAGAGGTGTATATATATATATATATATGTATAGCAAACTAAACTTTTCCAACTGTTTTCAAGCTCAAAATATAAAACTTATAAGACTGGTATGAAATAAATGCTTGTATTTCTTTTCTTATGGAGAGGTAACTAAGTATATGTTTCAGAAACCAGCATGTAGAATTACTTCAAAATGTGAGAGGAAGCATTAATATCTATCTAATCCAGGATTCACAAAAAGATATTTTTCTAATCAAAAATGTGCTTAAAAGCTATGTTTTAAAACCCACTTAATAGTTTAATAAAGCTACTTGGGAGAAGGAAGCAAATACTCAGTCAACTACTATATTTGTAACTACTGAAATACATGAAAATAAAAAGGTCATTAATGAAATTGGGATGGGTTTTTGATCTCTTGAAGGTTGCTTAGGTGCCATAGAAATTAAAAGTCATTTAGTTGCTTTGGAATTCAATCCAGCAAGTTTGAAAACCTCTGCTTCTAAAGATCTTTTTGTAACCAACATCAAGCCTTAGAATAGCCTCAAGCTGTATGTCAAGCTACATTACAACCCTTTCTCCTTCCTGCCATGCAGTGATACTCTGCTTGCTCCACAGCTTTCTGCTGTCATCAGGGCGTCAGCATTCTGTTCTTTCAGCCATTTTTGTAGGAGCTGTGCTGAAAGCTTCCTGAAGCCCATTTGTGGTGTGTTGAACAAATGCACTCCATTCTTTTCTAGTATGTGCATCCTATGTGCTAGTCTGACTCACCAGAAGCAGATTTTTTGGGGTCAAATAGGTTTTCCTTAAACAGTGAAATTTGCTGTAACTTAGGGTGAAATTCTGTACACTTGAATTCAAGTGCTAGACCTAAAATTACGGGCCATGAACATGATATTGTAAATATAATTAAGAGACGGTTTTACTTTTCCAGACAGTAAATGCTGATCCTCTTTTGCAGCTGACATGAGTAGTTATGACTATATTGCTTATTGAACACATCCTATATACAGATCCTATAGAACCAGGGCATTTGTCATACAACCACTTACTGTTCAGCACCAAAACTGAGCAAATAGCAGCACTAATCTCATGAGGTGCAGAATCTCAACTCTTCATTTGTCAGATTGCTCAGCAATAGACTGTTGGATGGAATGATTTGTTTCCTTCAGGCTTCTCTAGTTAATCGCTCTATTATTTAAACAGTGAAAATAGAGACTTTTGTTGGTCCCCTTGGGTGTAGAAGGTGTAAGTGCTCTGTGCCTCTTGCCCTGGAATTACTGGCTTACCCAAGGGAGTAACAACAATCTTGTTAGTCATGCCTGATTGCTTTATCAAGGACAAACTGCCATGTTCACAGCCCTGCTGCCCTGCTTTCAAAAACCCCCTAATGCCACCCAGCCAGCACCTGAAATATAGCATTTCCCTGAATAAGGGTAGGTGCCCCATGTGTAGTGAAACACTCACTGATAGAGGCATTTCTTATCCAGCAATGTGACTTTGTTCCACATATATTCTCTGCAAACTTTATGGCTGTTGCATGCCATGATTCTTGCATCCCAAGTATTGTGTTGAGACACTGAAGAATGGGGTAGCTTGTAGTGTGCAATATACTCCAAATGAAAGGATCAAATCAATTTTTCTTTTTAAGTACATTATTTACTTTTCTTTCTAAAACCAAGGCTAATAGCAGTTTAATTTAAGTTGTTAACTCTCTTGAAAAAGTTAATTTGAATTAATTTTTGTATCCTTAGTACCCTGAGTTGCTGGAGGCTCATTTGAATTGATTAATCTAGTTTTACTGTGCATTAATTAGTGTTGGTAGATATTTCTTAGAGGGTGCACATTCAAGGGAGTCTGAAAACAGGATTGGTTGTAGCTGGAGAATATCTTCTGTTCATTACAGCCTTTTCATCGAGTTTCTCCACAGACTGACTCATATACAGCTCTACAAACCACTCAGTCAGCATTGTGTTATGCTGATCAAATGTAAATCATTAAAATTGCTAATCCATGATCTGAGCAATATTAATAAATAGTGCTTGTAGATTAGGGGGGGAAAAAGAGTCCATGGTAATCTACCTTTTCAGTAACAGAGATGAAACTGAGTGTTGAACACTTCTTTACTCTTCCTTCCAAAGCAGGGGATTGCTATGGCAATTTCACATAGATGCTTCTTAGGTTTGGGTTATAATTAGGCATGTGTGCAGTATCATCTTCCTCTGATTTAAATGTCACAAAAAAGGTTTCATTTCACTTGTTACATCATGTAACTAATGGGCTAAACTATACATGCTCCATACTGTTTGTGTCTTCGGTTTATTTGATCAGCTCCATTGGCCTCATCATTTTTTCTTTCCATAGTTAAAGGCTGATGCTATTGCTCCAAGCTGTAGGTAGGATCAGCATAGTTTTTGTACCAACTTCAGCTGTTTTTCTCCATCTGCTTCCATATGAAACATGGAAACACACTTCCACTGAAGAGAGTTTTGAAACAGATACCTAAATTAGGACTGTTAATGTCCATGAATTCTTTTTAAAATAAATCTCTCAACCTTGGTATATGTGGAAACTTGACTGTGTTCATTTAGTAAATCTCATTAACAAAATTATTAATAAACAGTATTTACTGGGTTTTAAAATTCAGTTATCTTTTCACAAGACAAGGAATGAGTAAAGACATAAATAAATACTTGTTACCAATTCCTTTATAGTACATTTTAGTAAATGGGAAAAGGCTTCTTCTTTTAAAAGAAGTTGCTTATTTAAAATAGAAAACAACAACCCCCCCTTAAATATCAAGATGAACATGAATAGTTTGGTACTGTTAGTTAATACCTTATTTCATCTCACTGCACTATCATCCAGTGAATGCCAACAAGCTGTCTGAATTGCATTCCAGTAATGGGGAAAAGGTACACACAGTTCTCCAAGTTCAGAGAAACCTTCAGTTTATTTTGTGGTTTTAAACTGAACTGGACAGTCAACTATTAAAGTGTGGGAGCAAGTTTATTGTGCATTTCTATTGGGGTTTTTATTGGTGGAAATTAGTAACAATATTGAATCCAGTTGTCTCCTACTAGAACTGGACAAAAGCCATTTTTGATTATTCATTTAAATCTACTACATGCTATCTTGGAAAAGCTGAAATCAAATTGGCTTCAAGCCTTTTTTTTTTTACTTCACAGCATAAGCAGTTGAAAATCTGTACATAATTTTGTGTAATCAGAGGTGCTCTGATTAGGTCTGGTAAGAACTTTCGACTCAGGGCTGCCCACAGTAATTCATTGTCTCTGCCTGCTTGGCCTGACTCCATGTGCCAGAATCCTTTTCCTCTGCAATGGTTTGTCTTTGTTATTCTGAAAGTCAGAAGATGTGGTAAGGCAATGCTGCTTTTCTCTCTGTGCCTTTTGAGCAGTTTCATTTATAAGTGCTGAATGTTGCTTCAAGAATTTTGCACTCTTCACATCTTGGGTGGATTCAGTGGGCTACTGAAAATGGAGCAGTTCCACTGAGGTGGTTACTTTGGAGCACAGATGTATCCTGATGAGCCTCTAACTACAATATGTAGCTCTGTTTCACAGTAGATGAAACATTTTGAATTTATTAAATGTTACAAATACTTGGAAAGTGTGTTTCTGTGTTAAATCTCAGTATTTCGGAGCTGTTGTCCAGTACAACAGGAAGTCTCTTAAACTTTGGTTGTGTTACTGTTGCTTTATTAACCTTTAGAGATTTATAGATAGTCTGTGATAAATGAGAAGGAGTTGCCTGAAGTCCTTGTATACTTTAGGTTTTCTTTTATATCCTGGATATAAATCTGTACTAGTCATTATTCAGTACTTCGCTATTAGCAGAAATTCCTGAAGTAATGAGTGGAAAGCCGGTAAAGGACCCCGCTGTGGCGGAGGCAGGAGCGGTCTGAGCGCAGGCAGGGCAGCGCTGACGGCCCCGAGCTGCCCGGGAGGGGGCAGGGGCAGGGCCATGGTGCTCCGTGCGCTCGGCGGCCGGGCTGGGCCGGGACACCAGGGCCGGGACACCAGGGCCGGGACACCAGGGCCGGGACACCCGTGGCGGAGCGGGGCGGGGCCGGGCCGCACCTGGCGGCCGCGATGGCCGCGGGGCCGGGGCGGTGCCGTACCGGGGGCAGAGTCCAGCGCGGGCGGCGGCGGCCGCAGGATCCCGGGCCCGGCGCGGAAGATGCCGCTGGGGCTGAGGAGCAAGAAGAAGGACAAGTCCAAGGAGACCTTCAAGCTGGTGGAGAGCGAGGCGGCGGCCCCGGCCCCCGCGGCGGCCCCGGCGCCGTCGGCCGGCGCGTCGCGGCTGCAGTTCCACACGCAGCTGGCGCACGGCAGCCCCACGGGCCGCGTGGAGGGCTTCGGCAGCGCCCGCGAGCTGTACGCCCGCATCGGCGAGGTCTTCGGCATCCACCCCGCCCAGGTAGGGCCGGCACCGCCGCGGCCGCGTCCCGCCGGGCCTCCGGGGCTCTTCCCACCGCCCTGCCCCACGGCATCCTCCGGCACGGGCTTGTGCGGACGTGCCTGCTTTACACTTCTTGGGAGAAAAAAACTCCCTTTGCTATTCCAAATGAGCGCTACCTTACGGGAAAAAACAGAAGTGTGATTGCACTTAACTCTTGCATGGTAAAAACGATGGTCCTCTTGACCGAAACCCCAGTGTCTCGCTTGACCTGTTGCCAGCTGCTGTTTGACACAGCTCTTAGGCACTGCTTCATTCCAGTTAAAAAAGGGACAACTTGATTTATGAGGCTAAATGCCCAGAATGAAGGCAGGGAAGGGGAGGGGATGTGGTATAAATGCCCTGAATAGGACTACATTTTAACATTTCAGCCGAAAAGTGATGTTTGGAAAGTTTTCTGCTTTATCAGGTAATTATTTTTAAAAGGCTCACAGTTCAAATGGAGTTATTTAAGTCTGTAACAGGATTCTTTTTTAAGTTCTGCTGCCTTTTTGATCTTTTTTTTTTTTTCTGAGCCACGTTCTAAACATTTGTTTGGATAATGATTCATTTGTGTTTGTAAATGCATTGTTTTCTCTTAGTTAAAAGGTAGTGGCCATATCAAGTTCTTCCTATGTGGTTCTGTGAACCTTAACCTCTGAGTGGCAAGTTGAAACAGAGGGCTAACATTTCATGATGCCTACGTGTGGCTGTACAGCTTTACTTGTTTTCTTCTTTGTAGATGACTTTTTTTAAAGTTGTAAAGACTACTACTACGGCAGGCTTTGTTCTGAGAGTTTACTGTGGCCTGACATAGCATTTCAAACAGTAAACTGTAAAGGGAAGTGGCAGTAGCAGTGAATACAGTTTAACCTGTCACTATTGCATTAAGTAATTAAGAGGCAATACATCCATGTCCCAGACCTTCCCAGCCGCTTTCTGACCTCCTGCGCCTTTGTTTTCTTTTCATCCTGAGCTGCTGTTCCCCTTTTGTTCTGTTCCATCTCAGTTGCACCTTTTATTCTCAAGTTCTCATAATTACCAGATTGTCTTCTATTTTAGTTTTCTTCCTTTCACTGTTGAACTTTTGGCTCCACTGACTTGAGAAAGAACAGCTTTCATGGAGAAATTTAATTTTGTATGAATGGTGCGGTCTTGTTTCTCCTGCTGGATGTATAATCTGACACCCTCAGAGGTTTTAGAGGAAGCACCACATATCATGGGCATATATTGCCAGCCTTGTGCCAGACTAGGGAAGTTTCTTATTATCTTTTTCTCCTTAATGTTCCATTCCTTAATTTTTTTTGTGCGTGTCTTATTGATAAAAATGGATGGAGAATTATTGCTGGAGGCACTGAACTTAAAATCTTTTACTCTTTTTTTTTATTCTTTTACTCTTTTACTTTAAGGAAGTTGTATGAAGTAAAAATTGTGAACAAAAACAGTTGTAAAGGTGGCATAACAGAGTGAAAAATTTGGACCAGAGAGTCATGTAACAGAATTTTGGTAGAGAGACAAGATATATCAGTGAACAGTCAAGAAATGTGAATTTATTTTAAATGGTATTATCTATTCATTTAAGTTGCTTTTGGACAGATAATCTAGTGTAAAGAATAATGCCAGAAGATACATCTCAGCAAGATGAAAGACTTTGAGGTACTCAAATGCCGTTTGTAGGTGTTACCTGTCTAGGAAAGTTTCAGTGACCCAGCTCTCCCGAAGCCTGTGGTCAGCGTGATACTGCCTTTGGAAACAGGTCCTATCACAGAGATCTCTACTCTGTAGTGGCTGAGCTGGAAAATAGTGGGGGGGAGTGGAGGGGAAGACTTTGTGTAGAGAGCATTCAGATACCTTTTGCAGAAATGAATACATTTAATATGATATGTGAGTTTACTGTAGGGTAGGCAACAGTGTGGATTCTTGGATAAATTCCTGCCTAAGTATTTTAATATCATTCTGAATGAGTTGTAATCTGCCACTTCTCCTTTTGACTCCACATGGTTACAGCACTTCTTTTCCTCCTTGGATCACATCTCTCAGGACCAGCTGAGTTTAGCTTCTGCTGGAGAATCCTTTCCAGGTTCTGTGATTGACTGCCAACAGTGACAGAGAGAAGTTTGTATAAAACACAGTGTTGGACAGACACTGACAGAAACTTCTGTGCAGACCTGGCTCATGAGTAGGGTAGGATGGGGACAGGACAAGATGGGTATAGCTTCAAAGGGGATATTTGCTAGGTATCTATGAAAGACTGAGACATAACAGCAGCTTTTGAGGCTTTTCCTGTACTCATCCTTTCTTGCAGGTATTTTATTCTTCACCCATCTTCCTAGATGAATATATCTGTTACCCCTTTTGAGCTGAGGGATAGGCAGAAGCCTCCCTTTCTGCCTGCCTCTGACTTTTCCCTCATCCAGCATTTCTTTTCTCTGTCCAATGTGACTGTTCTTTCTACAGGGGTGTGTGAATATGGCTTCTAGCAATAGATTGCCTGTGCCATTGTCACCAAAACTGTGGGAAAAACAAAATCTCCAATATTTTTTATGTTAGAGAATTAATGCATTACTTGATTCTGGCCAGGATGTGCAATAGAAATTCATCCACACAAGCCTGGGTTGTGCAGTGAAAATCATTCCATCATGCATATTTCCTTAACAGAACTTTTCACACTTTTATACAGACAAAACCCAAAGAAATTCTTGTTCAATGGTCTTGAATTACACAATTCTTAGTATTCGATCTCCTATTGGTTATTGATCCCTTTGCCTTCTATGCTAATTTGGTCCTCATTCTTCAGTTCTCTTATTAGTCTTTTCCCAGACCAGGTCTCTGGCCACACCAGGGGGTGATGTTCAGGGGTAATGGTCCTTAATGTTCGTTTATCTCCTATGTATCTTCTGGCTACTCCCAATCTGTGGATGTTAACATTTTAAATTTTAAACCCCGAAGAGTGTTGTAAAGAGAAACTTCAATTCCCTTCCCCTTAGGCAAAGGAGATCAAATCCCTGACTAAAGTTAAGTAAAAGAATGTAAAATT